AATGCTATTGTAATAATTGGCATTATTATTTTTAAAATATAAAGAATTTAACAAAAATCCCAAAAATATCTAATATTTTTAATATCTATTAAATTAACACAACATATTTATTAAAACCAAACAATTAGAAATAGTTCATTGTACTAAAAAATTAAAGGACAAATCGTGCGAATAATCATTAAAAATAAATAAGTAGAGTTTCTTTTTAAAATAATCACGTTAAGGTTGATATAAATAGAGAGTCAATCGTTGACACAGATAAAAGGGGACTCAAGGGGCGGCCGTTGGGCCAAACCTATGCCCCAAAACGTAACTTAGTAATTATTAGTATTTATTATATATAGTAAAGTGTGTGTGTAGTGTTTTAGTTTCAAAGGTAATATCTATTTTATTTTAACATGTTTAAATCTCTTGTTTGGGTTATGTATTTTAAAACAGTTCATTAGTCTTCTTCAAATGCCAATTCTTTCATTTTCGTCCCAAGTTTACTTATTAAATGTTTTTATCAGTTTTAAGGGTTTTATCATATAAAGAGTTTTTTTATATTAAAATGTTTTTGTGATGTAAAAGGTTTCTTTATATCAAAGTTTCATCATAGATTATATTATATTAGCTTGGTTTATCATAACAAAGATTTACAATTGTGGGTAGTAATTTTTGCTATGTCTTATTTCAAAAATAGAGATTGTTTTGATTTATTGAAATTTGTTATTCATTTTTTACTTATATTTAAATATACGTGTTATTGTTTATTAACCTATTTTATTCTCACCTCTTTCCAAAAACCAGTAAGAAATATTCCGAGCATGTTAAGCCTCGGCGTTCCTACCCTTAAGGACTTGAGAGTCTTAAGTCAGTTGCCAAAACCGCTCGACATATGCTATTAAGGGATGTTTTTTTTTGTATTTTTATTTTCTTTTATTATTTTATTTTGCCACTGGCGAATGGATGTTCCTTCAGGACTCCAGGACCCTAGGGCTGGTGACAAGCGCTGCCTTTATCCCTTAATAGTATAGTAACAACAGTAGCTAAAGACCTATCAGTAGTTGTAAATGGTCTTTAGGCAAACTGGTTGTTACATTTGGTGACGAGCGTTGGTCTTTAGGCAAACTGGTTGTCACATTTGGTGACGAGCGTTGGTCTTTAGGCAAACTGGTTGTTACACTATTTTGGAATTATGGAAATATACAATTCCAAATTCCCTCTACGATTTTTATAAAATATACTCCCATATCTCTAGAGGAAAAATAAATGAAAGAAAATTGGAAAAGATGAGAATTAAAGAAAAGAAATAAATATAGTTTAAAAAAACTAAAAAACACGCTTTTAAAGCATATCAAACTAAAAAGTTAAAAATAATTTTTCAAATAAGCTTAAAACAATAATAAATGGAAAATACTAGTATTATTGTGAAAAAAGCATCGGACGCTCGATGTACGTGAAAAATGAACAAAGTGCCCCACGCTTTTTTCACAATAATACTAGTATTTTCCATTTATTATTTATTTAAGCTTAATTGAAAAATTATTTTTAACTTTTTAGTTTGATATGCTCCAAAAGCGTGATTTTTAGTTTTTTTAAACTATATTTATTTTTTACTTTTTAGTTCGATTAATTATTAAAAAAAAATTGTAAGTTGAAATTGCTGAAAAAAAAATTTTTTTTTCAGCCATGGATGTGATTATAACCCACGATCGGCGAGTCTGTCGATCGACGTGACCGCGCCTTAGACCCCTCGGCCAACGAACGAACTTAAGGTACTGGGATATACTGACAGTAATAAGCCACTTGCTTTTAGTCCACAGGAGAGTTACAAACATACATACAGGTGAAGCCAATAATAGCGTGTTAATGAATGCATCGACCAGGGATCCAACACGGAACCTTCAAACTAGAACCATCTACGGCTTCTACCAGTTGGGCTGTTGAGGCACATGGCTTTGACAGTCGAATTTGCAAATTTAAATTCTCAATTCTCCTTAATGCCATCCTTGTGCGTAGTAGAATGAGAGGCTGTCCTATTATGACAATCGCCCTTTTAAATTATTAATAGTATAGAATAAACTTAAATATGTACGTACCATACATGTTAGGGCATAAGTAGGAATGCTAAAAAAATAAATAGCTCCTCCCTCGACCCGGTGTTCTGGGTTAACCATCGATAGGTGTGACAGTACTATACCTCTGCATCTCTTTCGTTCGATGTAGAAAAAGTTCTCAAACAGAGGAGAATAAATGGTATCACTCTTAGTATCTGTGAGGTTGCTAGTAGAATCCTCGTAGGTGAAACCACTCATTAGTATCAGTCAGTGAAACCGGTCACTAGTACCATTTTATTCAAATAGAAGAATTTTCCAAAGGGATTAAGGAACAGGTCGCTGCTTCTTTCTTTTTGGATGTAGTAGCTAGGCAAACGACGTTATATTAATTCCAAAATTGGCAGAAGACGACATATGACCTCCAAATTTAAATCACGTTATTTGAGCATCACTCACATCCAATAAAATGGTGTGATTTACTAAGGTAGAATTTAAAGTATAATATCTACTTACATCGTTGTATTGGAACAAAATTATTTTTAAAAAACTCTCAAAATCTATCAAATGTTTTCCTTAAAAACGCCGAAACCAGCAACACTTAGCACGAAACGATGACTTTTCATAATTCACGTAGAAAACGGAAAAGGTTCCAATGCTCAATACGCGTGTCCATCTGTAATCATCACTTCCAGCATAAGCTATGGTCGTTGTCTAAAACTAATGACGTAGAAACGAGACTGTCATTACCAACTAGCACTTTATACAGCCAGTCCTGAAGGGATATGTTGATAATATTTGATAATAACCAAAGGCACTACTTAATATAAGCTATTACACCCCAACTGTGACAGCTGAGTTGCTTATAATGGAGTTAATAGAGTCAATTGTGCTCAGTAAAGTAAACGATATAGTATCAATGTTGGCAGTTATAGGTGATTGGTTATCTACCGGCACGTGAGTCGATCTATGCCTGTCGCGGTTTATGACTTCCTACTGTATGTCAGCACATTCATAGCGCTGAAACACGGTAGGAAATCTGAATATCATGCCCGCTCTATGTCACTTTAAACCATATGTGAATTGTGTGCTGCAGTCCAGGAGGAATTCAGGAGCGTACAAAGGCGTAAAAGCAGATGAAATTCTACCTGCTGATAAAATTGTAATTATTTTTGAATGACAGAGTTGAATAGTTTTGTTATTATTTTGTAGTCTGGTTTACAAGTAAAAAATGGAGTTAATTCTTGCTACTGCTATTCTATATATTGAGTTGTTTTTACAATAGGTCTGATTATTAGAAAGTATTTTAAATACATTAACTTTATTTTTTTAATATATTGGTTTTCTCTTGATCAAATGAAAAACTAACAGAATATAATGTCTTTATTATAACAATATATTTTGTCAAATATAAACGATCTTTACATGTATTAAGAAAATAAATTTATTTTTTAGCATTTGGCACATTACTGTTAATATTGCTTAGTAGTGAGTGTTTTTTTTTTTAAATTCTTCCTGACTGAACCCGATTTCTTGTTTTTGCTCCTGCAGATGTATGTTTTCTTCGACTGATTGCTGTTGGTTGTACTTTTCTTTTCCTACTTCTTCTTAACGTTATTTTATTAAGTATTAAATCGACAGCTTGATTTCACGTAACGATTTTTTTAAGTGATTTGTAAGTGAATTCATTGCTTTTAAACCACCAGAACTTGGGTTTTGCTTAAACGTTTCCACTAATCGTGTTGCCATGCGGTATGAATTCCACCTATAGGAAGAGCAGAAGCCTACTTAAAATCATACCAGGTGACAACACGCGTAGTAATTATAGGGCTCACACGCGCGTATTGGTTTATAAATCCCTAAGTGATTTCTGCGCTAGCACGAGGTAGTATTTTTTAAGAATTTTGGAAAAAATATGCATTTAATTCCTCCTGCATTTTAACACCTTAGCGTGCTGACATACAGTATGAATTCATAAAGCGCATTTCTGACAACGTTGATACAGTGTCTAGTCACGGTTGGGCAGCTAGCCACTCACCTATGATTGGCAACGTAGATTTCAACGTGTTCTTTTGCTGCATATGGGGCATTTCATGCCAAATCGGACACCATTTAGCTTCTGCATCTTGGATTTTTTTGAAACTTTTCTGTTTGAGTATAGGTTGAAAGAGGCCTCCATGAATTTTCCAAATGTTTTTCTCCAACCGTTTTTGGGATGTCGATTTTAAAAAAATTCAGAGATTTTTTTTCAAACGCCCATAATTTCGTGAAAAATGATCTGAATGAAATTTTCATAGGATCAAAAAATCTTTGTTTTTAAACATACTTTTCGTAAACAAATATTAAAAAAAATGAAGCAAGCTTCTATCAGAATTTTAACTTTTATGCATAAATTATCGATTTACAAAAAACACGTACTGATCGATTTTTCTCAAAATTTTTCACAACAAACTGTCACCTATTCTACAACTTTTTCGGCCATGCTCATAGTGGGACAACGATGTGATCTACGTTTGTCGATTTTTCAATTTTGACATTTCAGATTTTTGTGATAAAAATGTCTGAAAAATATTCTATGCTCAGGTAATTATCAAATTTTATTTTCGAATAAAGATTATTAATAACTCACATCTATTTGTTTAAATATTTTATAAATCTGAGATTCAACGGTTATTGTAAATTCTTTAAATTTAAAATCGTAAGATTTTTTCAGCATTGGCTTGTAAGTCTTTCAAATTAATTCCAACCGTTTACTATATTCGGCAAAAAAGACTGTGGTGGATAACTTATCGGTTGAGAATTTTTTTTGTTTACATCTAGGTTTAAGAACAAGAGTAGGGATATTGTTGTTGAACACATGTTATTAGCGTCTTTTGTCAATGATCAATATCAACTTTTTTAAAAGAAATATTAGTGTATAATTTTTACCGTAAACAAGCAAATAGTATTGTGAATATTTGTGCCATGGAAAATTTTGGTAGATATAATTTGTGCTGTAATCCTCGACAATTGGAAGACCATAGAGTGAAAAATGGTCTCCGACGAGCTTCTTTTACAAATCATATTGCACATAACTTAAGTACAAATGTCTATCTCTGTACATCGTGTAGAAAAGCACTCGATTCGCAAAATAATGCATCTAATTCTGTTCCTGAGGTTGATGACAATTTTGAAGAAGAATTGGAAGATGCTCGTACTAAAAGTACTCTTTCATCAATTTCAACTATTCCATCTGGTAAGATTAAATAAACTTTATGTCCTAAATATTATTATTATTATGATAAAACAAGTTTATTATTTTAAAATAAAAATTTATTCTTTTAAATTTTTAGGATTAGAAGAATTTAGTGAAGAACTATCAACACAAACCAGTAGTTTGTCTGGATAAAGTTTAGGAACAGTGCTGCCTGTTGTTAATGATGCATTCGCTTTATTGAATCAATCACCAATTATCAATGAACACGTTGACAATCAAACTTATTTAGAAAACAAAGTTAAAAAAGTTTATAATGACTTAAATACCACTTTAGGAGTCATAAAACAGTCTGATGAAACAAATTCACAAAATTTCTTAGATTTGCTCGAAAAATTAAATACTAAATTTAACGATAGTAATACGCAACGATCTGAAAAATCTAAATTCTTACTCTTTTGCCTGAAACGTGGGGTTTATCTTGACTATGCGAAATAATGGGTTGTACAAAATCTCTTCGAAAAAAGAAAGGAATTCTGTCAACTCCGACTGCTAAATTAGGTTAGAATCTTTTTAGAATTATATCCAAATAAATAATGCCTATTGAAATTTTCAGTGATAATAAATTTTATTTGTTTACATTTCAAGTCGACTCATACCAAACGACATTAAATCGAAAATTTTGCAATTCTATATGAGTGACGAAATTAGTGTGAATATGCCAGGGATGAAAGATTATCTTACTATTAGAAATGATGCTGGAACACGTGAGCATAAACAAAAACATCTCATTCTCTCAAACGAAAGAATTATATGAACTTTTCAAAGAACGATATCTAGATTGCAGGGTTGGCTTCTCATAATTTTCATCATTACGTACCTGCTGCTGATCTGATCCTTTATTACCCAAGCAAATATTCAATTCGGATAAAATAATTATATAAAATATTTTGAGTTCTTTATTTTTAAATGATTCTAGTAGTTAGTTTTTATAAATTGCAATTAGAAGTACTTCTGTTAATTTGTTTTTATTGCTGGTTCTAGCGGAGCTCATACCATTTGTGTTTGTTCTATACACTAAAACGTCAAGCTTATGATGCTAGGTAAGTTATATACTAAAAAAAATCTTTGTCAAAATAAATCATGGTTTCCTCCGTTGCAGGGTGTAACTTAGCGGCACTTACTGACCAATTAGCAACGCCATTAAAAACATATAGTGACTGCTTTAAAATAATCATATGTCAGAATCCCACCTTTAATTTTTATTTTCACGACTATGATAAGTGTCCAGGTATACAAACTTTGAAGGACTATTAAACGTACTAGATGGAAACGGACATGATGAAATTAGTTATAAGTATTGAATTTCAAAACATCGTATGAGCCTAGAGACATTCGTGAAAAAATCATCAGATTTTGTGGACATTTTTTGTGAAAATATCACAATTTTTCTTTCTCATCATAACATCGCTAAAGAGCAAGCAAACTATTTAAAGTCGCAGAAAATATCATTAAATGAGAATGAGTACATTGTTATCTGTAATATTGCGAAAAATTGTGCCTTTGTGATTCAGAATGTTGCATCTGGATTTCATTGGAATAACAGCCAGGCAACTGTTTATCCAGTTGCAATTTATTATATAAAAAAAAAATATTAATAATCAGATTGTTTATCTCATGATGCAGTTGCCGTTCATGAGTTTACAATAATTACCACTAATTTTATCAAAGGTCTTTCCAACAATGCTTCAAAAATTATTTACTTTTTCGACGAACACCTCAACAATAATTTAAGAATTATAAAATTTTTGTAAGAAGACTTTGGAATTAAAGCTGAATGGCATTACTTTGCAACTGCTCATGGCAAAGGATCTTGTGATGGAGCAAAGGAACTTAAAAGAGGATGGCAGCACGATCAAGTCTTTCGCTTCCATATGACCAATAAATTTTAACTCCTCTGGAACTGAATGGGCGAAAAAACCAAATTCTTTACCAAATATAAATATTCAATTTTTTTCCAATAGCAAAATCTTCAGCAGTTAGACCACCGGATTCATTCCAAATATAGCAGTATCCATCCTTGGAACGCAAATTAAAAAAAACACAGGTTATGCACACATAACTTCGTGCGATAGTACAAGCTACTGACATTCGATTTCGGTGACATTAATACAGATTGAAGATGCACGGTAAAAATGTACGTTTCATTCCTAGTATCATTTTCTTTTTCTAATCTAGCCACATTCTTTTTTAATAAAACGATTAACTAGAGCGTATTCTAACGTGCTACCTGTTACATGCACCGAAACAATAGTGATATTGGAGATAGCTGTTTTACGGTTTTAAAATTGTTATTGTGGAGTTAGGCGGTATACGCACATTGAACTTTCGGACGTTTTCCTTTCAGATTTTGATTTGGCGGTATTTCTAGTCGATGCAGAATGCCCTTCTACGTTTAAATACTTCAATAAAACACAATTGGTCCAAAGTGGAGTTAGCAGGTTAACACTCTTAACCGACGATATGTTGCGTATATTTTTAAAAATGTTGAGGGAGAAACAATGCCAAAAGTCTTCTTTAATAAGAATAGTAGAGAGTTTGATTGTTTGCTTACTGATAATATATGCTCTGACCACGTTAAGTCTCTAGTAATGATAACGCCGAGATAATTTTGGGACGATACTGTCTTTGAGGCATTATTATTAACAGTATAGACTAATTTAGGATTGTTTCTACCAATATGAAGAACAACACATTTATCAACGTTTAGCGGTAATAACCAGTCTGAACTCCACTTTGATACCGCACTTAGATCAGATTGAAGAGACTGATAGTCCGCAATTGGATTAGCGTAGATTTTTGTATCGTCTGCGTAGAAGGAGCGACAGCTTTTTATGTGCACAGAAATATCGGCAGTATATAATAGAAACAGTAGGGCAGCAAGGACTGACCCTTGAGGCACTCCACTGACAACGGATTTGGTTTGAGAGAAACTATTACCAACTTTTACGCGAAATTGTCTAGAGGTTAAGAAGTCCGTTACCCAAGCTATTAAGTTGCCTCGGATTCCTAGGTGTTCGGTCTTTTTGAGAAGTCGGTGCTTTGGAACTCTATCAAAGGCTTTAGAAAAATCCAAGTATATAACATCTGTAGGAAGACCAGCATCTATTATTATTAGATCCAAAATATTTACGAGCGATGACAATCACAGGGACGCAGAAATATCATTTTGTCATTTCAGATGGAGAAGATACTTTGAAATTTAAAGAAATTTTATCATCCGTTGAATCTCGGAATTATAAAATATTTAAACGTGTATAAGAAAATAGATGTGAGTTAATAATAATCTTTCTTCGGAAATAAAATTTGATAATTATCATGATTATTGTGTCTCAAATAATTATTAACAGTAAATCTCGAGCATAAAATTTTTTTTCAGACATTTTTGATCACAAAAATCTGAAATGTCAAAATTAAAAAATTTTAAAAAATAGATTCTATCGTTGTCCCACTATGAGCATGGCCAAAAAAGTTGTAGAATAAGAGACAGTTTTTTGTAAATCGATAATTTATGCTTAAAAGTTAAAATTCTAATAGAAGCTTACTTTGAAATATTTTTTTGGTATTTTTAACGAAAAGTATGTTTGAAACTAAAGATTTTTTGTTTCTATGAAAATTTTATTCAGATAATTTTTCGAGAAGTCATGGACCTTTAAAAAAAACTCTCTGAATTTTTCAAAAATCGAAGTCCGGAAAACGGTTGCAGAAAAAAAATTGAAAAAATTCATGAAGGTTTCTTTTAACCTATACTCAAATATAGAAAAGTTTCAAAAAAATCCAAGATGCAAAAGCTAAATGGTGTCCGATTTGGCATGGAATGCCCCATATACAAGCGTCGTTTACTGTTTATTCTAACACAGGCAAAGCAGAACTGAAGGTTTGATTTTTCCAGCACTATATCATTTTATTTGTTGGTTAGTTTAATTTTGAATCGGGAGCGATTTCAAATAAATCTTCTTAAAATTGAAGTATTATAATAATTATCATAATTATGAAAGCGGAATTGTAGGTGACACGCAGGTGAATACGAATACTAATATTACATTAAGCTTTTCCCCGTCATGACGTAACTTGTGGTTTGTAACATTAAGTGAACGGAAACGACGCAAGGCCGACCCCTCGGGATTCCAAAAAGACAATGCTTCCCACGTCTGCATATTCATAAGCTGGCGCCCGACTCCTTCTTGCGGTCCCTTTAGAGACATCCCGATTCACTTGACGCCTTCTAACACAAACGACATAGCCAGCAACGTTGTTGTTGAGATTTATTTCTGAAAAAAAAGCAGGACGATGTAAAGTGAGAGAAACAGAAAAAAGAACAGTGGCTAGTCTACTTCGGAAACAGGACAAGACTTTAACATTGGCGTTCCAAACAGATACAGTTTGTTTATGTTTATGCATTAATCAATGTACGAATTTAATTATCGTTTATTTCCTGAAGTGTGTACCGTTGTGACTGTTATGCAGTTATGGAAATACATTTCTACAAAAACCGCTAGATTTGGATGAATCTTTAAGAACGGCATCTAACCTACATTTTAATTTTTATGTACTGTTTACTGGCGAGTTAAGTCGTGTAACAGAAGATTTCAATATTTGACTCGGTAACAGTGTTTTTACCTTACAATATAAACCCGACATATCTGGAGTGTTGCTTAAAACAACTTATATAGTTTATTTTAAAATAAGTAACAGCAAAATTTTTATGACATAGGAGATAAACCTTAATATAACATCATAATTTAGTGACGGATAATTTCTAAAATAAAATGTTTAGCATTATTTGTACCAAAATAAAATCTTTGGCTTTCTTCCCAAAAATTTTAAAATACCAATTTATTTTAATTCTTGTCTTAATTTTAAAAGTGTTAGGCATATTGTTAATTATTTTAGTTAAGATTTATATTTCTGTTAGTATAATTCTGTGATTGTAAAGAATTATTGGTTTGCTTATTAGAATTTTATGATGTTTTGTATTTATATAGACCTTTGCCATAAAAACTGTGCTATCATGCATTTTCAAGTACCTAAACTATAATAAAATCTCAGTAAAAAATTGAATTCTTTTGAATACACAACACTGCCAACAGTATGTAATATCAGAGAGTACCACCATCGCAACAGTATGAAAGCGA